CCAATAGGCCTCCAATACAAGACCCTAAAACAAGCGTCCAAGGCCTCTCGAGGCCCCAGAAGGTACCCCAGCAGACCCTCACATGCATCCAGGACGCCTCTGACCCCCAGCCCAGGCACGGTGGCGGGATGCACCGAAGGCCTAAGCGTTGCCCTCCATGTGCCAAGCGACTGCGTCTACCAACGCGGAATGAGCGAAGCGCTTGAAAAATGCTTTGGGCGCGTGAGGAGGCACCTGGAGACGGGATGGTGTTTCCAAGACCTCTGTGCGTTTAGGGTTAACTCATCCTTTCTTTTCCTTTCACACCCCTGCTAAGCGCGTCGCTTGGGCGTTGCAGCTGCTACACTACACGCTTCCCTTTTGCCCCGCCGCCAAACCTCACGCCTCCCCGCCTGGCAGCGGCTTCTTGGCCATCATCTTCAGCTCGTGGAGATCGCATGCAGGAAGTATCAGATTGAATGTCTGGTTTCAGAAGGTGTTGAATCATAAAAGCTCCAACCAAGAGCTTTGCCAACTCTGCCTGGCAAGCGCTCGCCACTGTCAAAGGCACCGTCGCCTCAACGATCAGGTCGTGCGTTGTCTGCCAAGCGTGCGCACCGTGCAAAGCCACGGCTGCACATGCGCGCCCATCGCCCCACCGGCTGCCGTCGAAATTGATTTGGAGCCGCGACCGTCCATAGATGCCCCCATGCTGCCGGAAGCAATATTCATGGCGATTCGCTGCTTTATCCGCCTCCGAATTGCGTTCGCGGTATACATGAAGACAAACATTGTGTCCTAGGGAGGGCGGACAGCAGGTATCCATATATGTATATATATGTATATAGATATTCTGGGGCCCTCTGAAGCCGCTTAACCAGAGCCCTGGGCCTTCTCTTCTTCTCATGCAAGAAGAGCGGCCGCCTCGCGGCCGACAGTGACTCTCTCTGCGACGCCGACTTCAAAGGTCAAGGATGCAGCTGGATCGATCCGCACGCCTCGCAAACACTGGAACTCAAGAGGCGCTTCGAGCGCCAACGGTGCGAGATCACTCACCCGTGCCCCCGAGACCCCGTTTGGGTCTGGGAGCAGCGGCTGCTGGAACAAATTTGCAGGACGCTGGCTTCCGCAACTGGCGGAGCGAGTGCGCGAGGGCCTGATGTAACGAGGAGGCCGCACGCTTCGCGCTCTGCTGCTGACCTCGGCTCAACTTGGACAATTGTTTGAGCAGGTCAGCTGACTTCTCGTATCTGGTGACAGATCTGAAGGCCGCCCAGCGGCCTCTCTTCTGAGTGGCACGGAGGTCTAAGGCCTTATTTATACGATCGTTGGCGGGGCCAGAGTGACGCAGCCAGTGGGGCAATCCGCCCAAAGAAGAGAGGCCGAGGCGTGTCAGGGCGCGGCCGAAACTCTTTTCATGTTGAGACAGGGTGAAGGGAAAAAGGCGGCAGCTGGGCTCAGTGCATCGTGCCAGCGTAGCGGCCACGTCTTTGACCCGGCCTCGTCCGGCCACGCCGACCTCTACGGCGTCGTCGAAGATGCCTGTCTTGGTCGGCCGCCCGCGGTCGCCCGGGGCGAGGTGGAGCGCGACTTTGCCAGCGTACTCGGCCCCGGCGTCGGCGCAGCCGACCGGCGCGTCCTCGGGCCTGAGCGCCAGCGCCTCCGAGGGCCGGAGGTAGCAGTCCGTCTGGATCACCACGAGCGCCGCCAGCCTCGGCTCGCCGTCGGCCAGGAAGGCCTGCGCGAGCTGCCAGCGCACGGAGAGCGGGCAAGGCATGCCAACAGCCCCTGGGTCGCTCTTGCGCCAGCCCTTGAGCTGCCGACGGGCTCGTGGGAGCCGCACCTGGCCGACCCCAGACTCGTGGTTGCCCCCGCGCAGCAGCAGGTGCCCGAAGAGCCCGTTGCGGCCAGTTGCTGGCCCCATACCAGCGAAGTACAGCTCCGTCATCCAGCCGACGAGGTTGGCATCAACATTGACCAAGTTGTTGTTCTGGCGCCCGTTCAGTCGGCACCAAGATTCGAACTCATCAACTCCTTTCCTGTACAGTGCGAGGGTCGCCTCCGACACGCCCTTCAGCTTGAGGTAGTCTGCCCGCGAGCGGCCGGCGGCGGCCGCGTGGCGGGCCCGGGCTGCGGCCTTGGCGACAGGCGCGCGCCGTCGTCGGGCGGCCGGCGCCCGGCTGCTACCAGCTCGGCGGGTCGAGAGCGTCTCCGCAAGCACGGAGGGCCGCCCGCTCGACCGCGCTGGTGTTCCCGAAGAGGACACCGCGCTCCGCGAGGTAGCGGTCGGCCCGGCCCGGGCACAGCTCGCGTCGCCGCCCGCTGTCGTGTCAGCCGGCCGAGCATCGCCCTCAGCGGCGCCGCGATGCCGCCGCGGCACCAGGGCCTCCAGCTCGCCGGCCCATGCCTCCACAAACGGCGGAGAGGCACCGAAGGCCGTGGTGGGGGCCGCCTTGGCCAGGCACGCAGCCCAGCTCGAGCAGAGAGCCGACGGATATGCGCCCGCCAGCTCCGTCAGGCGAACCCATCTGATTTTTCCCCGATCATCTGCAACCTTGACTCGTCCCGAGAGGTGAGGATGGGAGGCGTGTGTGCACTCCGCCGCCAGCGATGCCAGCGTGGGCGAGTTGGTCGGCAGCGCCGCCCACTTCTGGCGCGGGACCCCGTAGGCGCACATCGGGAACTTCACCCAGCGAGCCCCGGCCAGCCCGGCCAGGCCCCCGACCGGAGGGAAGCTCCACAACCCCGGCGACGCAGGATTCTCGATGGACCACAGGACGTTGCACCTCTGACAAGTACGGACCACCTCGCTCATGAACAACGCAAGCTCCACCCTCAACCGTTCCGTAGCTCGAGCACGCTTGAGGTCTTTCACGCCCTTTCTGGCTATACTCCAGGAACTACAAGGTGCACCCAAGTGAACTCCCCAGACTCCTCCAGATCGCAACCACTTCAGAACCAATAACTGAGTAGCCCGACGAGGTATATCATACTGAGCGCCCTTACGGATGTCGAACGAGAAGCCCACACGTAGGCATGCAGATACAAGCGCCCGACTGAGGCCTCCAGTACCCGAGAAGAGCTCCAGGAAGACTTTTGCCGACTCTGGCTCGCGAGCATGTCCGGCCTCGGCCGACGCTGAGCGGCCCCCAACGCTGCGCTCGAGAGCTGTCTCGGCCCGCAGCGCGCGGAGGCCAGCTGGGCTAGATCGTCTGGAAGACGGAGGAGAGGATGTGGGAGGTCTCGTGCTTGCGCTCTGCAGGCTCTGAGGTCGTACTCGAGGGGGTCGAGGGGGCCGGGGGGGGGCGGGCGGGCCCCCAGGGCGCCACCACCTGTCGGCGGGCCTTCGCCGCGCACAGCCACTGAGGCTCAGGTGGTTCGCGCAGCCTCGAGCCGAAGTCAGCCACGCAGAGGTCGGTTGGGACGTGGCGGACACGCCAGCGTATCCCACAACCCAGCGCGTAGCCGGCGGCCCGTCGGCACTGCGCGTTCAGCGCCCTGGAGGTCGATCGCCCCTTGTCGAGGCAGCAGCACGTCGCCATGTTGTCGCGCAGCGAGAGGACCCGATGGCCGTGGCGCCGAGGGTCCCGACAGCTCCTGCGCAACCCCATGACGCACGCCCTCGCCTCCTTGATATTGATGTGCTCCTCGGGGCGCTGCCACCGTCCGGCCACTGCTCGTCGCCAGCCCTCGTCGCGCGTCAGCGCCACGGGCAGCTTCGGGGCCACATTCAAGAGCTCCACCTCCTGGCGGTGCCGACCGCCCACAGCGCTGCGGCCTTGCCGACGCCGAGTCTGGCCAACCTTGCGAAAGGCTAGCTGGCCCAGCTCGGTCGAGGACCAAGCGCCCGCCGACCGTCCGGCACGCAGCTGCACGTCAGCGAACTTGGGGATCTCTAGCTCGTCATCCGCTGGGAGGCCCCGTAGCTGCGCTAGGTAGGCGCTGGTGTAGTGGGCGTCGTCACGCTCAGCCTCCACCTCCACGAAACGCCACCGCTCTCGCCAACGCCAGGCGTCTCGGACCGCCCGAGCGGGCTTCCGCCCGTACATCAGGCAGTAGCCGCCCGTCGACGAGTCGGAGATGCGCACCTCGTCGTCGTAGGGGGCCGCGAGGTTGACGCCCCCAGAGAAGACCAGCGCGGCGGCCAGGCGCAGCTCAAGCCGAACTCCGCGAGGCAGAGGTCGCCGTGCACCGAGCCCGTTCCCGATGAAGGTGTACGTGTCCTGCAGGATCGACAGCAGCAGCGGCTGCAGCGAGAAGAGGTGGACCGCGTGCCCCGCCCAAGCCAGCAGCTCGGCAGGCGAGCAGCGCCCGCGCCGGAGGAGCTCCTTGGTCCCGAAGTGGAATCGCCACACTCGATGCGGCGTGTGCCTGAGCGTCTTGTCGGACCCGTGGATCACGAGCCCCAGCGATTCGAGCTCGGCGAGCGCGACCTCGGGCACGTGGAGCTTCAGCCCCGCATCCGCGGCAGCCCTCTCGAAGCCCCTCACCCCGAAGGCGGCGCCCTCCTGGCGGCCGCCCAGGCCCGCGAACATGCCCGCGTACACGGCGCAGACTGGACGTCCAGGCCGAAGGAGGGGAGCGGGACGCTTGTCCTGGAGCAGCTGCTCGCTGCCCCCTGGACATCCACGCTCGGCCAGAGTGGTGACAGCCTCCTGCGCGGAGTGGAGGGCCCATGACCACCCCATGGGCAGCGCCCGCATCACGGGATAGAGCAACTCACCCGCCCGCACTGGGGTGGGCCCCTTGAGGTCGTCGTCGTAGACGTGGGTGATGTCGAGGCCCCACTCCTCCACGGTCAGCGGGCAGTCAAACCCGAACCAGCTCGCGATGCCCTCCACCTCAAGCTGGTAGAAGCAGTCCTTCACATCCGCGCTCGACGCGTGGAGGTCGAGGGGCAGCTCCAGCGCCCCGCCGTAGCCGCCGAAGGCGTCGGCGAGGGGGCTGAGGTCCAGCTCGCTCAGGGAGGCGGGCCCGCCCATCACGGTCCGTGGAGGCCGTCGGTGGCAAAGGTTCGCCTGTCAAGCATCACAAACAAACCGAATGCGACCATCTTTCTTGTGCACGAAAAAAGCCCCACAGCGGCTCTTGATTGCCCTGCGGAATTCCGCGACACCTGCCGCCGCCAGCCGGCGGAACAAATCGCGACGAGCTGACCGATCTCCGCGGAGGGCGGGGTCCCAGTAAGGTGTCGGGAGCCCTCCCGCGGCGTGTAGCCGGGCCTCCAGCTCCGGCGCGGTCAGCTCCACCTGGCTCTCGAAGTGTCTCAAATACCCAGCCGCAGCCTCTGGGGGCAATGCCGACGCGGGGACAGGCCGCAACGCGCCGGACGCGATGTGCAGCTTGTCGGGGTCGTAGCTCGCCAGGTGCCGCGGCCCCAGCTCATACTGGTCGGCGGACTTGAGGATCGCCCGGAGGGGCCACTCACCATCCGTCGCTTCACGAGGAGGCTCGCCATAGCCGTTGACCCCCGCAACCACGTGGGCCAGCGCACTCCTTTGGACCGCAGTCGGCGGCCCCCCCGTGGACGCACGCGATGAACCTTGCCATCAATCGAACTCGTCTTGAAAGCAGCGAGGTGGTTGAGGGCCTCAACCGTCTCTCTAACCCGCTCTTGCCTCTTGGCCCTGTGGTGCCATCTACGCGCCGTGGGCCTGGCTGCTCCCGTCGGCCGCCCCTCCTCGTACTGCATGGGGAGCTGGAACGGATCATTGTGGAGCCAGTGGCCGTCCGGCCACCAATACTTCTTTGGCAGCTCGCTGATTCCTGGACGGCGGTGCGCGCCCGACGCGGACTCGGCCAGGCCCGCTGCGCAGGCGCCGCCTCGGTGGGGAGTCACCCCCCCTCCCCCTCGGCGCCCGCCGAGGGGGACCCTCTCTTCGCCTTCTCCTTCTGCTTGGCCCTCGAGCCGTCGCCCGACTCGCCCTTGCCGTCGCCCCTCACGCCCCTCCGCCTCGCCGCCTCCTCCTGGTAGAGCCTCTGCTGCTTGAGGATCTGGGCGCGGTCCTTCTGGCGGTTGGTCACGTGTTCGAGGTGCCGCGGCACGTGGGCTGAGCCGCTCGCCGACCGCGGTCCAGCCAGCACATCCTCCAGCCCGCTGAAGTCGGGGTGCCGCGGGTTCTTTTCCACGGCCATCTCGACCTGGATGACCCGCCGCACGACATGCTCGAAGCACGCCAAGTTGACCACATTCAGCTGGTCGTGGCAGATCGCCCTCCGCAGCGTCTCGAGGTGGCAGCGATGCTCGTGTCCCTGAGCTCCGCCCTCTGCCACTCCGCTGAGCCGCTGCCACTCAGCCTGGTAGGTGGGCAGGTTGCCAGCCCCCAGCGCGATGCTCTTCAGGTACTCAAGGCACGCCCGTGGCCCCTGATCGGGCCAGTCCTCGACGGTCACCTCTCTCATGGGCTCGACGGCATCCCTGAAGTCTAGATCCCGACGGCCCACTCGTGAGCGGTGATCCCCCAGCACGCGGATATCCTCGACGTCCTCTCGGCATGACTGCACCCAACTGTCTCGCTCACCTCGAGAGACCCGCTCCACGAAACGCGGCTCCCCGTCGATCATGCACACTCCACGGTGGCCGAGCGTGACACACCTGTCGCCATCCTCGATGACATCGGCAGGCACAGCTTCACCAAAGCGAGCATCCGCGACACTCGCCAACAACCACACGTACTCCTCGGCGTCCTCGACCTCTCCCCCGCCCAGAAGTGCAGCCTGTCGCTGGGCCTGTCGCTTGGCGTCTCGCAGCGTCTGCCCGTCGACTGGGTCGAAGGCGTGCACCATCGGCGCGAACTGGGCGGGAAAAGCCGAGGACCGATCCAACACATGATGTCGCAGGACGCCGAGGTCAACCCTCACAATCTCGTGGTCGGGAGTGAGGCCCAGCCACAGGGCGCCCTCGACCCGATGCAGCAACACACGGTGGTGCCACTCCAGATCCTCGTCGGGGTACATAATGCACCAGCACCTGGGCCTCTCGGATGTCGAGAGTCCTAGCAGCCATCTCGTCGCTGGGCTAGTGAACTGGGTGTGTTCGCCACGGCCGTCACGGATGACCCCGCGGGCGCGCCAGGCGCAGGGAGCGCAGCGGCCCTGGCGGCGCGGCCTCCTGCCCCGCGGGCCGAAGAGGCCGGCTCTCCGCCGCCGCCGCTGGTGCCGCTCGAGCACCCCCAAGCCGCCCCCGCGGCCTGGCGCGCACACCCCAGCAGGCTGGCGCCCGCGCAGCCCACGGCAAGCCCAGCCCCCGCCGAGCACAGGGCCACCGCGGCGCTCGCCCAGAGCAGCGAGGTGGCCTGCCCCTCGGAGCAATTGCAGTCGCCGCAGTGCAGGCCTGGGCAGCTCGGCGACGTCACTGATGGGCAGGAAACCGATGGGCACGCAGGGCAGCTCGAGGCCAGCCACGACGTGCGGAAGTGGAGGGCTGCTGGGAGGAAATCGCGAGCAAGCCCCAGGAGACCCACCGGGAGCATGCCCTCAGAAGCTTGAGCCAGAACAGATACGGTCGCATCTGTGCTGTGAACAAAGACGGTACGCTGAGAACGAGGGCCAAGAACACACATCTTACATATTACAATGTAGATATCCAAGTGTGGCACGTGCCCCATAAGATCATCATCACCCCACATCATCATCCCATGTCGTCTGTTATTCCTCCTCCTCATCCTCCTCGTCCTCCTCCTCCCCCTCCTCCTCCTTATCCTCCTCCCCCAATGTTAAAACAAACCCTCTCTGATTGCGCATCACATGATAGGGCCACGTTAGGGACCAAGGTCCTCTGGGACACTCCAGCCAGCTCATACGAAAGAAAACAGCACGGTGGAAGGGATGGGTGGGGAGGGGCGGGGTCGCGGGCGCACCTCGCTGGCCATCCTCCCCCTTTTCCTTGACGCCTCTTCCTCCGCCCCCCTCCTCATCCACCCCCGTGCCTGCCGCCAGCGGAGGATCAGGAGGAGGAGGAGGAGGAGGAGGAGGAGGAGGAGGGGGAGGAGGCGAGCAGGAGGCGGAAGAGGAAGAGGCGGAAGAGGAGGAGGATGAGGAGGAGGAGGGGGAGGAGGAGGAGAAGAAAAATGATGGTGGGAGGACGAGGAGGAGGGGGCGAGGACGAGGAGGGGGAGAAGGAAAGTGGAGTAGGAGGAGGAGGAGGTTGAGGAGGAGGAGGAGGAGGACGAGGGCCCCCCTCTGTATTCCTCTTCCCCCCTCACCCCCACCGCCCCCCTGGCGCAGTGGGCCCTCCGCGGCCCGGCGGGGCCTCCCGTCTGGCGCGGGGAGCACCGAAAGCTCCCAGCGCAGGTCCTTCGCGGCAGAGGGCAGCGAGCGGTCGTACTCCACCGCTACAGCTCGCAGCACCTCTGCACGGAGGAGGAGTGAGAGAAGGGAGGAGAAGGAGAAGGAGGAGGAGGAGGAAGAGGAGGAGGAGGAGGAGGAGGAGGAGGAGGAGGAGGAGGAGGGGGAGGAGGGGGAGTGGAGGAGGATGGGAGGGTGAAGAGGGAATAGGAAGAAGAGGAGGATGGAGGAGGAGGAGGAGGAGGAGGAGGAGGAGGAGGAGGAGGAGGAGGAGGAGGGATCATGAAGGATGGAGGAAAAGAAAGAGGAGGATAATGAGAACGAGGGGGAGGAGGGGACAGACGATGGAGAATGGAGGAGGGAGGATCGACGGAGGACGTAGGGCAACGGCCGCGCGCCTCCGTGAGCAGGGGCGGCGGGAGGCCCTCGAAGCCGCCCATCAGCGACAGGTCCTCGTGGCCGCGGCGCTGCCCTTCTCCCCCCCCCCCCTCGTGAGAAAGACAATTATTGTGGTGGGAGAGAGGGGTCGGGAAGATAGAGGGCGCGACAGGGAAATTAACATATTCAACATAGGCGAAAACACTGATGATCTTTAAATTCTCCCATGCCCATCATCTTAACCCGATTATTGTCGTTTTGACCTCGGGGCCTCAGGCAACTGTCGGCGCAAAATTCGGCAGCACTGCTCCGGGGCAAGAGCACTCCGCAGGAAGACGACGACGCAGTCGCCCTACTACAAAGAGCAGCCGACCCGACGTCCTCGCCCGCCACGGCGTCGCCTCGTCCCAACCCCTGGGGCCTACGCGGTGATTGGCGCACTGCTCGACAGCACTACTCAGCGACGGGAGAGCTCCCTGCGGGGATGACGACGCAGCCGCCCTACTGCAAGCCACCGCGGACGACCCGACGATCATACCGTCTGCCTCCACTGACCCACCCCACAGCACCGAGTCTGACTCGCCACAAGACCACTCACCAGCCACATCCACCTATTTGACTGAAGATCCTATGTCCACACCCTCACCAACCCAGACCCGCGCACAACACCTTGCCCCAAGGCAAGCATCACGCTGACATTATAACACTCAATACCTCCCTAGCGCCGATCAAGACCCCTGCACGCTGGGACCACGCAGCCGACAGCAGCAGCACTGAAACGCCAACCGTGGCACCACCACCACTTGCACCAACCCGCAGCCAGTCCGTCCCTGGCGGCCCGACAACACCTATACAAAACACCCCAGCAGCTACCAGCACCAGCACCAGCTGTTCAAAACAAGCCAAAACGCCAGCAGCACGCTCCACTGCCGAGCCAAAGAAACAATATATGACAAACATAACAACGACGAACGCCATCCCACCCGACGGCAGCGACGCCTGCCGGCCAGTACCTGGCCCCACGCCACCATAACCTTCCGACTGTGCCAACCAGCTCGCTGGCCGACGACTCACATAGGACAGGCGGTCATCGTCCTGACCGCTGCACACGGAAATGGCAGAACCGACCAGCGAAACATTACGACTGCCAACATGTGAAGACTCCCCGTTCCCCACCCCTCTGCTGGCTTCCGCGTTCACCATACCGCTGCTGTTCTCACAATTTCCATCGTCCTCCTCCTGGATGCCGCCACTCCTGTCTGCTAGACACTCACGCTACCGTCGCTTCCTTGCCTCACGATGGCCATAGTGCACCACTACGCCGCGCCACCGCTTCAGCACGAAACGATACCACGGCTGGAACACCAACTGCACATATAACCAACACTTCCCACAACCGTACCAGCCTCGCAACCTCTGCCAAGTTTCGTCACTTCAGCCAAATGGTGCCCTCTGCAAGGATTCGCTTATCCACCCCTCCACCTCCTCACAACCTTGTTGCGATCTGTGCACGAAAATTTCCGTGTACAGTAACGTCTGCATAGGCAGTCCTGACGCAATCAGCACAGCTCGGTCAGCTTAAACAGACACTATGCCCATGCGCCCGTCTTTGTACAAGCGCGGTTACTGACGCCTAGCACCCTTCGACTACGAGGCGACGCCCGTGTGTGGGCCAACAAGCCCTTGCACATAACCCCCACAAAAGGACCCCTCGACTGGCAACACCCCGTGTACCGCACCACAGGCAGCACGAAACGCCCTTTCCCTGTGCGCCTCATTTTGCCCTCCGCTGTCATACGAGCCCCTCTCCTGCCCCCCACCGTTTCTGCATCATCTGGGTGCCATGTGCGCACCGCGGGTTCGTGCCGTGTCAAGTCTGGCGTTGGATCCTGACCGACTCTGGGTCGCCCGCGGCGTTCAACGTTGAACGCTGGCGGTGGGGTCGCCGCCAATCGACGCGACGTGAACCTACAGTCGTAAACCCTGACCAGACCCAACGCCAACGCCAACGTGCCACCACCAGCCATCAGTAATGAAATGTGCACGTGCATTGCATCCACCCTTGGCAGAGTTATAGCAAGGAGGGCGTGGCCCCAACTGCTTCGCCGATTGCTGGCAAAAGTGCCGTTCCGTTCAAGCATGGTGGCGCCCACGATTTGGGGAGTATGTCAGCTTGTCGTCGACCGCAGACCTTCTGGACAGCTTCCCTGCTCTTTACAGACTCCTTCCCTTCGCGGCACTGCTGCCGCAGTCGGAGAATGCGTTACTGCGCGCAGTGCGTCCCTGCTGCCCTGAAGACTCAACCAACCCAGGGGCCTCGGTACGGATGTTTTGCCCAGCTGGCGACAGCCCTGGAAACGCATGGCGTGTCGCTCCGCCTCGCGAAGCGAAAGGCTGGCAAAGGCTGGGGACGCTGACGCGCGAAAACAGGGGGACGGCGAACAAAAACAGGACCCGTGTCCCGCACGACTCTCTTGCCCTGCGCGCCGCGCCCGCCAAGTCCTTGAAATGGTGCACGACCAGCTGCATCGCGCGCGCCTTCAACCGCGACGCGCCGAGCACGTGGGC